CTTGATTCTTGGGCTCCTCTGGTCTGCTATTGGGTGTCTGTATAATATTCTTTATTTCAGTCCGTGTATGCTTAATTTCTAGTTGTTTCTTTATCATAGCATCGAGGGTCTCATTAGTTTTCGTGAGTCTCTCCTCAAGTTTATTGGCAGCTTCTAGCACATTTTTGCAAGCCCTCAAAATTGCGTTTTTTAGCTCTATATCGTCCATTTCTGTCATGTTTTTTTGTCTCCGCATTTTTTATGCTTTCTTGGTGCACCCCCTAGTGGTCTTTGTGCGCAGTCTTGTTCTAGTTGAGCCTTGATTGTTGTAGTTAATACTAGAGGGATTTGACCACCAGGCCGACTGGCTGTGTGAATCAGCTGTGTCTGCCGCGGAAAACTTCTGTCAGGATCTCTTAATGAATCAATAAGTGAATCTAGAGAGTGACATCAGAGGAATGACAGCACGAGAGGTCATCTTGTTATCTCCCTTTGAAGTTTCAACATTTGAACAGCAATAATTCAACAAAGGATTTCTTGCTCAATGCACAACCAAGTCTGAGATATCTACTCATTGAAATATCTGAGGATGGGCAAGTAGGAGTGAACAAAGGAGGTAGAAAGAGAGAAGAGGTGAGACAGTGCTAGTGATGTGCAGCTTGGAGCTCAAGGTGGGGCTCAGCCCTGAGAGGGGAGGAATCAGGTTGCCACTGGCACTCCCTTCAGCCAGAAGGAGCAAACAGATAGAGTGAACATTCCTGCAGAAGTGGGCAGTACTGCCCGCAGCTGATCCCAGTGATCTGGGCAGGGGCTAAGCACAGAGGTGTGGCCATGGTTGTATGATAATTCCAGACAGATAAACAAAGCCACAGAGCCAGGCTACCCCCACTTATCCTCCTAGATCTCACCTCTGCTCAAGCTCCCAGAGCTAGAAGCAGGCCTCCGAAGAAGCTGTAGCAGTGAGTGTCAGGTTGCAGAGCACATTATCTGCAAACCCAAGAACTGGTACTATGGAAATACTTTTACCCTGAGCAACAGGCACATTGTGCAACTACTCACAGGGTTGGGTGGAAACACGGAAAGGAGGCCTCAGAGATCAGCTAGCTAGCAACCATTATTTGGAGAGCAAAGCAACAAAGAAAGCAGCCAACTTCCCTCAGCTCACGCCACCCCCACCCCTTGAAGCTGGACTGCTGGCAGCATCTGGCTGCAGGGCACAGCACTTAGATATCACGGATTTGGAAACCCATTTCCCACCACATTCACCTATGTGATTAGTTCCCTGAGTCAGAGGTGACCTGAACACAGGGACAAGCCCATTTTCTACCACGCTGAGGAGACCAGAAAACCCAGAGCAGTGCAAGAGAACTAAAAATGTGTGATTCAGCACCACCTACTGGAAAACAATAGAAAGACTTTTTATCAATTTATAGAGAAATGCCATGCATACCTGGTATGTAGATGCCTAGACAGAGTTAGGATCCATCAAATATTATGAACCACCAAAGTAGCAAGACAGCTCAGAAATAAAGTGAAAAATCTCCAGAAAATAAACATGAAAATATGGAAATATCTGATTTAAATGACAGAGAACACTAGATTGCAGTTCTGAAAAAAATCAATGAGATGCAAGAAAACACAGATAAGCAGTTTAATGAACTCAGAAACAATATCAACAAACAAAATGCGTACTTTTCCCAAAGAGATTCAATCTTTAAAAACAAACAAAATAGAAATTCTGGAGATGAAGGATTCAATAAAAGAGAGAATGAACTAGTGAGCAAATGAAATAAGCTGACTAGATGGAGGAAAGAATTAGTGATATAAGAGATAGAAACCTAGAAACAATGCAAATCAAAGAAAAGAAAGACTTGACCATAAAAAAATGAAAGAACTCTATGAGAACTATCTGATTCCAACAGAAAGAGCAATATAACATTAATAGGCATACCAGCCGAAGAAGAGGAAGAGAAAGGGACTGAGATCCTATTCAAATAGTTGATGAGAACTTCCAAAACCCATGGAGAAAGAGCTAGGTCCTCAAATCTAAGAAGCAAACAGAACACCTAGTTACCTAAATCCAAAGAGGACATCTCCAAGGCATATTTTATTAAAACTGTTAAAAATTAATGATAAAGATGTATCAAGGCAGCCAGAAAAGAAGAAAGTAACCTTTAAAGGAAATCCCATTTGGTTATCATCAGACTTCTCAGCAGAAACTCTACAAACCAGAAGAGAATGCAATCAAATATTCAAATTACTAAAAGAGGAAAATTACCAGTCAAGAATAATATATCTAGCAAAGTTATTCATTAGATATGAAGGAGAAATAAAGACTTTTCCATACAGATAGAAGCTGAAAAAATTTACCACCAGAACACCTCGATTGCAGGAAATACTCAAGGGGGTTATTATACCTGAAACAAAGAACTAAAGGTCACAACACTCTGAGTAAGATCAACAACAAACTCACAACATAAATATTTTGTGACAAGAAAAACCTAAAAGAGGAAGCAGTAAAGATCTGAATTTGCAAAGGGGATGGAGAGTAGATGCATTCAAAATAAAAATAACTACTGTATATATAAAACTTTATTTTTCATAAACCTGTGGTAACCACACACACACACACACACACACACACACACACACACACACGAAACAAAGGAAAGAAGTATGGAATACCACCAAACTAAAACAGACAGAAACACAAAGTTAAAGAACCAATGGGAG